TCGCATCACAGCAGTCGGTATAACATCTAAGCGGTCACCTAAAGACGAACGGTGCAACAAAATGTGTGACAACTTGCTCATGCATAGGAATCCTTGTTAGAGTTATTCCCCTGGTGAGGAAATCATAAGTCTTAAGAAAAGAAAAAGAAAAAGACACGATTACTGCAGAAGTAAAGCTAATTTATTTGCTGTATCGAGAAGAAAGCTAAGAAAGATGATCACCCCGCATTTCAAAGAGTAATCTTGCCCTGTTACTCGCTAAGTCCTCCGCATCCTAATCATGCATTATGCGTAATGCCGAACTGACAATCTCTGGGTTGCGTATAAGCACACCGTAGTAAAGTCACCTCGCTAAAGAGAAAGGGCATCAAGGAATTTTGAAGTAATGTAACATCTAATGCGAAACACCCTGAGGAGTTCTGGAAAAAAATGAAGCCATTACTCCCTAACTCGTCCTTGTCCAAACAGAACAGCGTGACATTAGTAGAGGATGGCAAAGTTCAGACGGAGCCCAGTGAAGTGGTGCTGTATTTGAAACCCACCGCGGCAGCGTGGAGAATTTTAGCGATCACCCGAGTGTTCGTGGGATTGCGTCAAGACAGGTGTTGGAACACCCATTTAACTTTGAACCAGATATCCGATCTGTTACCAAACGGGCCCACGGCATTGAATTTATCTGTTTGTTAACTGGACAATAGTAAAATAAATTCTTGAAAAAAACTGTGTACATATGTTCAGTGTCGGTTACACTTTCTAGATCCTTAAATCCCTCAAATGTTTATCTTTTCTCTTTGAAATAGCATGTAACGAATTTATCGCACGTCAAGTTAAGTGATACCTCAGAGAAACAAACTTTTATTACTATCAGCTTGGAAACGCTTGAATATCTAAATTGAGGTCGTTGTGTTATAAAAGCCCACTGTTAGGATGAGGCCACAGAGTTCTAAGAGGCGTTTTAAACTGGCTGATTATTTCGACCTCGTTGATGATTTTTGTTTTTCATTAAATTTACAATGCACTGTCATGCTGATATGCCTTGTTATCAGATCCAGGTACTTTGTCATACGTTGGAGACGCATAGCTCTATAAAAAAAAGATACCAAGATCAGTTAGGCGAGGAAAAATCAATGGAAATGTCTTGAAACCATCTATTTTTTATCGTCGGGAAGGGGGGAAGGAATGTGGTTGCGTAGCAATAAAATCTACCTAAT